GTGAGGAAAGCGGGGGGATGGTATGGGGGAGATGGGGGGATGGAATGGGGGCGTGGGAGGCGATGGGGGGAGATGGGGTGGGGGTGGAGGGGATAGAGTAGGGGATCTCATTAGAAAGTGAAATATCCCTCATCCCACCCCCAGTTGCCACCACCTTGCTTTCTGCTTGGTTTGGATCATGAAACAGAGACAATTAAACATGATCTATCTTTGTATTGGGGGGGAGGTAGCTCTTGGGGGCAGTATGTGTGTATGGGGACAAGGGATCATCTCAGTTTGTCATAAATGCCATATAATTACAGACCTGTTTAATAATAATTAAAAATTATGGACATTGTATTTTCCCTGGGAACCTCTTGCTTCGGGGGGGATGGGTGGGGGGAATGAAGAAAGCCCAGCTTCCCCTTCCCTCTTCCCACACTTCCATACCTGGTACCAGGGGGACTTACAGTGTTTTTGTGTGCTTGTGTCCTCTGCCTTTGGACTTCAAAATAACAGTAAAAAGTCCTCAAAGACGATATAAATAATAACTTTGCATTTAGGGCTTGTGTTAACTGAGACTCATGATGACGAATGACAGCTCAGGGGATTTCAGATGTTGTTTCCCCCTATGTTGCTGCTTGGGATTTTTATAATTAGCGGCTGCTCAGAATATTACACACTTGAGTTTTGTTAAATGATGCATTAAGAACCAATCGGAAACCTATCTTTGAAACAGGAATTTGGAGAGAGGGGAGAACTCATTTATTTTGTGCTGCTTTTTGTGATGCTTGAATGAAGAATGTTCGACTCCAATGGTATTCCGTCTGGATGTAGTGATGTGGATGGGGCAGTCAGTTTACTAACATACTTTGTTGTTTTGCTTATGCTTTAGCTATATTTCGCAATTGTATGCATGGTAACACAAGGCAGTTGGCTTATCATTGGAGTATAATGTACAGATGGAGCCATTTCTCCCTCAGAGAGAAAGGTGAAAGCCATCCATGCCTGATGCTGGCGCTGTGTGACACACAAGGAGATTTTCAGCGTTTTGTATCTTGCTTGTATTTGATTCAGTGAAGCATCAATTTGCAGAGTGTGCAGAAAGTCATTGCTATGGGTTTGTCTGTGTGTATTTAATGCTCTCTCTCAGGCTGTAATCTGTATAATAAAATGTGTATGCCAGTGTGAATGACAAATTCAAAATATCTTCTTGGAGAAATACAAAGATGAGCCTGAATTTACAGTGGATGTCTGTCTCTTCAGTCCATGGTGTGTTATTACTACAGTTTCTTTTGGGAAAAGAAAAAGTGAAATTATAGTATATCTGACGTTATTATAATCTGCTACCATTGAAGCAAAAACTTGTAGGTTGGAGCCAACTTAATGGTTGGCTTTGGTAACATTTTAGCCATCTCATTGGGTATATTAAGCTATGATAAGCATGCAAATCTAAAAAGAGCCAAGGGTTTTTTATTTCACGTGAAGTGCACTGAGGCAGGTCAAATGGCTATCGGATATTGTCAGTTGTTCATAAGAAGCGTTTGTTTTAGATTTGTTAAGCAACGCAGAAATTCAGTTAAACTGTAAGAACAAGCTCATGTTTCAATATCCACCATTCACACTGCCCAGGGTCATTGTGTACATATATTTGGTTGTTAGAAGTGGTCTGGTCTTAGACTGAGTAGCTAGTGCTGGGAGGATAGATGCCAGTGATACTGATGAGCAGGCTCTGTAATAATTATAACGGTTGGTTTGTGCTGCTTTTCTTAATGCAAAGCTGGATCTGGGAAGAAATCGTATCTAATACACAGAAGGTAGAATTAACTTTAGGTTCCCTATATGGTGCCTTAAGAAAGCAGTGTAGGGAAACTTGTGCTACCTATGTCCATGGTGTACTTGTTCTGTGGATAAGCAGGTCTTTGGGCTTCAGGATTGTTGATCTAGCACCTTTTTATGAGCATTAAGCAAATAAATATCCTCCCCTTCCTTGCATATTTCATCTTAATGTTAAATGTAAGCACAATCTGAGCAAAAGACTGTTTATGGTGGTGGTGATGAAGAGAATAAAATGACATGTTGTAGATGAGTCACTTTAGTCTGACACCATTTATTTTCTGCTACATGTTTTTGATACATCATATTGGTAAGTCATAGGTAGTGGTGTCTAAGTACCTTGATGCCCCCACACAGAGGTGACCTAAATGCATGGTGTATGTGTGCTCTGTAATTTAATATATGTGTTTTATCAATATGTGCCTGAAAGAAACAGCAAGAGACAAAACACACTTTACTAAGTCATTAACACATGCCTTGGCTGTGCAGGGGTCGGGAGGCCTTTCAAAGGAGTATGACTAATCAGTGTATCTCCTGCAGTCTTTCATAGTTAAAATACCAAGAAACCTATATTTTGATAAGTTAATGCACTTGAGCTACAAAAATAAAGTACAGTAATTGGGGTAATTTCACTGAGTTTGTAAATGAGATGGTGAGGCTGTCATACCAGAGCAGTCACTGGGGATTCATCACCCAAAGATGATTAGCAGCCAGTCAGATAGTTGCTCTGGACAACTGATAATCTGATTGATAATTAAATTACTTATTGATTGGGGCCAAGATTTTCTTCCTGTGCCTGTATTTAAAGCATTTATAAAGTCATCAGTGGGAGCTATTGAGTGCTTAGTACTTTGGAAAATTAGGCAGGTACCAAAAATGTGATTTTTTTGGGGGATCCTAGTTTTAGGTTTCTAGTTTTGAAAATCTTGACCTAGTTGAATTATTGCAGTTTAATGTGTTCGGCAGATAGTATTTCTGATTATTGATGCTTGTGCCTTTGATCATCATACTTGCTTACTTTGTAAACTTCAAATATAGGTAACAAAAATCATAGCATCATAAAAACGTAGGGCTGGTCATGTAATGAGAGGTCATCTAATTCAGACCTGTGCGCTGAGGCAGGACCAACTAAACCTAGACCATCCCTGACAGTTGTTTGTCCAACCTGTTCTTAAAACCCTCCAGTAACAGGGATTCCACAATCTCCCTTGCAAGTGCATAACTGTCCTTATAGTTAGAAAGTTTTTCCTGATATCTAATTTAAATCTCCCTTGCTGTGGATTAAGCCATTACTTCTTGTCCTCCGTTCAGTGGACAAGGAGAACAATTGATCCCCATTCTCTTTATAATATCGTTTGACATATTTGAAGACTGTAACCAGGTGCCCCCTCTGTCTTCTTTTATCAAGACTGAACCTGCCCAATTTTTTTAAAACTTTCCTCATTGGTCAGGTTTTCTAAACTTTTATCATTTTTATTTCTCTCCTCTGGACTTTCCAGTTTGTCCACATCTTTCCAAAGTGTGGCACCCAGAATGGGACACGGTACTCCAGCTGAAGCCTTACCTATACTAAACAGAGTGGGACAATTATTTCCTGTGTCTTACGTACTACACCCTGGTTAATACACTCCAGAATGATATTAACCTTCTTTGCAACTGCGTGACATTGACTCATATAATTTGTGATCCACTATAACCCCCATATTTTGTTCAGCAGTATTACTGCCTAGCCAGTAATTCCCCATTTTGTATTTGTGCATTTGATTTTTTTCCTGTCTGAATGTTGTACTTTGCACGTTTCTTGATTGAATTTCATCTTGTTAATTTTAGACCAATTCCACAATATGTTGAGGTTGTTTTGAATTCTAATCCTGTCCTGCAAAGTGCTTGTGACCCCTCCTAACTTGGTGTCATTTTGCAGATTTTATAAGCACACTCTTCACTCCATCATCCAAGCTGTTAATGAAAATACTGAATAGTACTGGACCCCTGCAGGACCCTACTAGATGCATCCTCTGTTTGACAGCGAACCATTGATAACTGCTTTTTGAGTATGGTCTTTCAACCAGTTATGCACCCACCATATAGTAATTTCATCTAGATCACATTTCCCTAGTTTGCTTATGAGAAAGTCATTTGAGACTGTGTCAAAAGCTGTACTAATAAAGATATATCATGTTTACAGCCCGCCCCTTACCCCCTCCTCCCCGGGGCAGTAACAGTAACAAAGAAGGATATTAGGTTGGTTTGGCATGATTTGTTCTTGACAAGTCATGCTGGCTATTTCTCAAAACCCTGTTATCCTCTAGGTCAGTGGTGCCCAAACTTTCCTGTTGTAGAATTTGATTCTACGCTCTCTTTCACATATAGTGCCACTCTCCCACAAGCATAACCTGTTTTATCCTTCTGA